ATAATTTTAATTATGATATTATTACTTTTAATTATGATAATTATAAGAAAATATTTTTTTCAATGTATAATTCTTTCGTATTACAAATAATTTGACATAAAAGGCCTAACTCGACAATCTGCGATCTACGAGTAATCTGAAATTTAAAATAACAAATAAAAGGTTGATAAAAGCGTCTTCTTCACCAAGGAGGGGATTTTGTTAAAACGGCGCCGTGAGCCATTCAATTATCACAGTAAGGCATTTCAAGTCACTCGTCTCGAATCTAACCACACTCTTTCTCTCTTCCTCTCTTTCAGAAAATATTTTGAAATTTAAATTTGAATTTTCTCTCTTGTTGAAGAAAAAACTCAACATTCCAAAAAAGATCAATCGACATTGAATCACTTTGATACGAATGCTCTTTTTGTTCAACACGGAATTTTATTGGAATTTTATTTCCGATATCATATACTACCGTTTTTTTATTTCTTCCTTAAACCTTATCTCTTCATAAATCGAGAATATCAATACCTGGAGCTGACTAGCATTCCATATCCGCCTAATTTTCGTTCTTATAAAATTTTATCATAGAATAGAAGACACCCTTTCATTGAACATGCATGCTAAACATGAAAAGAAATTTTGTTGGGTCTCTTAAAGTGTCTTCTTCGCGTATCATCAAAATCAGATATTGTATCTTTGGCATAATATTTTCTTGTAGGATGAAAAATGGAATTATGCTGTAGACAGGATAAAATTGTTACGTGATAAATATAATAAATCACCCATAAATAAGTTTGTTAAAAAACTGTATGTTTCTGTAACGTCACATATATATTTTATTTTTAAATTATCTGCTCTAGCTTATATAATTATTTTTATAAATCCAATTTTTCAATTATTTCTTTTAGCTTCTATAATTATCATATTCTTTTGTTCGAATTGATCTTGTGAGAACATTTGCATCATTGAGATTTCCGCCGGAAGATTAGAGAATTTTCATTTCCACCTCAGTTTAAAGATACAAATACCGAGAAGACCGAAATTCTGCCTGGCACAGAGGAATTTTAGCAAATTTAGTTTTTAATTAGGTACGTAAGGCCGGAACGCGTTCCGGGAATTTCTTATTAGATCTGCTTAGAGAACTCTGGGCAATTATCTTCAATGGCGGCTAAAACGTGATTACACGAGCTTTCACGACGGAATATTTTTCATGCTGATAAAAGACATCTGGAAAATCTTGGTTTAGTGAAAGAAGACTATTCCGCGCATCAGTTGCGCAATTTTAACAACAGTTATTACTGTCGGCTGATGAGATATATGTATCTCTACTTATTACAGAACTTAAATTAAAAATAAAAATTTGTATACGTTAAATTAAAAAAGAAAGGAAATAATTATATTTTAAAATAGTTGTATTTTAATTTTGAAAAAATAAAAGACATAATATAACAATTGACAGAAACATTTATTTTATTAAATTATATATTTTTATTGCTTGGACAGAAATTTTTGAATTCTTTTTCGTGATAATTTGTTAATTTTATTTTTATAATAGATTTTAAATTTATTACGTGGGTATTCAAAAACATTTTTAGTTAGAATTAAAATATTTAAAAATAAATTCTATTTAATATTTAGCTAAATCGACAATGTTCAAATAAATGTAAGAACGAAATTATCAAGATTGTTAAAAATAAAATAAAATAATAGATAAAAGAAAAAGCGAAAGAGATAGAGAGAGATGAAAAAAAATATATATAAATAAATATATAAATTATTTATTATATTATTTATTTATTATTTATTATTTAATATTGACAATTATTTTACGCGAATTAATTGATATAGCTTATAGAGTAGCGAATATTAAAGAAGATGTAACATATTGAAACCGACATTCTTAGCCGGCATATTGATATCTTTTGTCGCACTCAAGTCTTTCACATCGATATTATTAATGCATCAATGTCATATTGAAGATATTATAACCCCCTGCCAAGCGTCTAATTAACCTTTATTGCTTCCCCGTCTTTTTTGCCAGCACATAACGTTGTACTTATGTTAGATACTCCCCTCGATACATCATAGTATTATGAATTTCTATCATCTTCTCTTTCTTCCTTTTTTTCTCTCTTCTCTATCCTAAATATTACCAGTACCGTCTATCAAAGAGATCGAGATAGCGCGCGACGACGTATCCGTATGTATGCCGTCAGTGGGACACGCTTTTTCATTCACGTCACGTTGCGCCCGCCAATATTTTTAATTTAAGTTCGACGCGCGAGGGAGTCGAGCGGAGGAAAAAAAATTCCATCCACCGCGAATCGTGGCCGGATTTCGAATAGTCGTAAACTCGAATACAGGCGAGAATAGAGCGAGTACGGCGAGAGGTAGGAAACGCGAAGGGTTGAGAGTCGCTCGCTCAAGATTATCTGAGGTGCGCAAGTTGCAGCTTGACGCCGCGATTAAATCGCCCCGTCGACGCTATAGTAATAATTACGCTCTCGGTAGGGCACGTTCTCGCGATAAAAAAGGTACGTTAACAAGCCCCGGCCCCGATTTTATTAGCTTATCGCTGACCAGCGTTATTATGTTCCCTATTGTATGCATTATACATGTACGCGTACATGAACGTGCACGAGGGAGATCGGAAAGATGCAGAATACGCTGTAATGATAACTGCGAGTTACGCTGAGCGGAGCAATACGGTAATTGTACTGTAATTATAATTGAACGTTTGATTCGCTTCATATGTGCATGCTTCGTATTCATTTGTATTAAAAGTAACACATAATATATAAGAGATATCTGTGTAAAACAGTATAAAACATAAGGGTATCCTTACATAATAAATGTAAAAACGAAATTATTAAAATTGTTAAAAATAAAATAAAATAATAGATGAAAGAGAGAGAGAGAGAGAGAGAGAGAGAGAGAAAATATATATAAAAATTAAGGCCTTTTGTTTCCGGGATTAATTCATTCGATATGATGATAGCGTTTAACGTTATCGTAGACTACAGAATCATGAACCGCAATTCAGCGCTAAATATACAACATAAATACGCGTGCATGCATATATTTATAGGCATATCATAATTTCGAGAGTAAACGAACCCGGTAAACGAATACTCTCGGTTTTATTTGATACGAATTCATATGGGATTCAAAATATCGACATTCGAGGACCCGGTCCCCTCGTTACAGTAAATGATAGAGACAAGCTGGCCTTTAAACGAGATAGAAGCACTCGAGCGCTGACAAGGATCTCCGCACAGCCAGCGCCTTGAGATGATCCTTTCGCATAATACTATTTGGCTCTCTCGTTTTCTATTTTAGACAGCAATCTCCATTCATCACCTGGATTCTTTTCTCTATTCGATTATTCGTAAAGAGTGTCTATTTGTAATAATGCATTTCCAAAAATCGCGCATCCGAATAGAATAAATGATATAAAGGAAGCAAATTAAAAATTTTCAAATGGAGCAAAGAATAAATTATATTCTTAAATGAATCATTATATCTTTTAAAAAGAAAAAGAAACTGTGTTGACATTTTATCGCATCTTTTTATCAAATATAAGCAAATATAATCAAAGTGAATTCATTATTCTTTCTTTCTGTAAGGATATTTTACATATATTTTATATGTATATATGTTATACGATTATAATTAATATTTTAATCATTGATGATACATGCCATTGATATCTCAATATCTATCAACCAAAAGAAACTTTATTATACATTGTAACTTAAGATAATATTTTTTCAAATCTCAAAGGTAACTAAAGTACTCATTTTCAGCATATGATAGTTAAACGAATTTGTCGACGAGAAAAGTGTTCGCCCTCTCGTTGCAACTTTACTTTTCACATATATGGTACATGCGGTGCGTTTGCACCTGGGGTCAATCCGGAAAGAGATGCCGGTGCTTTTCGTTACATTCATAATTTAAACGTTCGCCGGTCCTCGCACTTTCTCTAACGCATCACACACATAACGCGATATAAAGTGATTTTCATGCCGAAGGTCGAGTGCGCTTTTAGTCAAATCTAATTTTACGGAGCGTCATTGATGCACTCGGCTTTCTCTTTCTCTCTCTTTTTCTTTTTCTCCTTTAACTGTGCATTTTCACATATAAATCTTCTTAAGTATAGACAATAAATATCATGCGGAAAGGCGAAATATGAATCGGCATAAATATTCTGTCAAGACTCATCTGTCTAATCCATTGCTGCGCGCGTTGAAAGCCGCGTTACATTTTAATTTACGTCACACACTCGTCTGCTACGCAATGTAATCACGTGATGAAGATAATCCTTTAAATATTTTATATCAACTGAAATATTAATTCCAAACCGCGGCCATTATTTATAATGTGCGCTAATTAAATTCCACACTAGACTTGAATATTTTTAACAGAATTCGTTCGAATTTTTTGTTTTAAATTTTTTCTTTCAACGAAACATGATTTTGCTATTTAAATTAATCTAAAATAGAAAAGAGATAACGGTATATTGTTGATAATAAACAAAATCATTCCAGCAAGAATATTTTTTGTGCACGCACGTATAGGAAATAAATAATCGTCTTATATATTTGAAACAAAAAATACAAAATTGGATCATCAATTATAAATTATATATATTAATAAACGATTGTTGCATCATAATTTTTTAGCGCATTTTATATTTAACTGTTACGGTCAAGAATGTGAAGCGAGAAACATGCATCGATAATAGTACGAATCAATAAATATGAAATTGACATTAGCGTCTATTCTGCAGTTGATTAAATGATATAATTAATTGCTGTCATTATCTTCACTCATCAATTAGAATGAAATGCTTAACATGCATCCTCTGTTACAAATTGTATGGCTCTGCATCGTCGCGTGCGGCGAGCAAATCATTTCGCGCGTACGATGAAAAACATATGTTTGCAAGCCATACGGACCGTCTCGATCGATTTGACGATCAAAACGTTCCGGACAGTAACGTGTGCTATAATTACCTCGAGATGCGTACCGGTTGCATCTTTCGCGGCTGCATCGCGCGCATTACTTCCGGGAAATAATTTTCTCGCGTAATAATTTTTTTTTTAATCTCAGATCTGTTTCCCCTCTTTTTCGCGGCCGCAAGAGTGACAAAAGTTTGTGTTGTTTTTGCGACTACCGTCCGACGAACGAGAGCTCCTTCGAGCGCGTCGCGGCGCTAACTGGAGAATTTTTGCGAGTGCACGAGAAGCTCGGCCGGTCCAGCCACGCGACGCATGCGTCGCATTCTGCCTTCATGGATTCGCAAGAAAAACGAGAAGGCAAAAGAAGAAAGAAGGAACTTCTGATAATATTGAGAAAGTGTTCCGCGATATCATCGGATACGGAAGAGATCGCGTAGGGTCGCGTGAACTTTCGCTAGATTGAAAGATCAGATACGCCGATACGCATGAAAATGGTCGAAATTGTCGCAAGTTTATCTCGGTAACGGCGGCAAAATTAATGAGATTGTGAAATGCGGGTAACAAGATGATATTAATCATCAGGCGAGTCGAAAATTTTACTTATAAATATCAATTATCAATCTAATATTAGCATCATTTTCGCTTGTATTCATGTTTGAGTTTATATTTATTATTTATTAATATTTATATACTCGCAATTTATGACAGATTCGGAAAGTAGAATGCACTAGGACTACATTTGCGAAATAGAATGAAAATTATTATATTCTAATATATCTTTTATAATTAAACCTCGAGCGTAATCTCATCTATACACTTGAGTTCTCGTAACATTGTAAATAGCGAAGATGTAGCAAATGCATGGATTATATAATATATATATCTCAAATTACAAATCAATTTTTTATTTGAAATATGTAGCCATGGTTCCAAATAAAAAAATCAATTTAGAATTTAAGTAGAATGTACTAAGGTATAATCTTTTTTCTAGAATCGTTTCTAAAGTTCGAAAAACAGTTATGTTCAAGCACCCTTTATATAAATCAATAATCACAAATAATCTTTTAGATATTCTGCATATAAAAATATAAAGGCGAGAAATTAAAAGAGTAAAATTATCAAAAACTTTATGAAGTATTATTTTCATGATTTATTCTTAAATAAAACGAAATGAAATTTTAAATTCATTTTATGTATTATAAAATAATATTTTAATAATGTTAAAATATTTTAAGTAAAATATTTAAAGTTAAAATATTTAAAGTATTTTTTTAAATTATGTATTAAAATTATTATATAAAAAATTCCAATTTCATTAAAAGCCTCGAAATTTCATAGATTTATATAATTAATGTGTTTGTGGGGAGAGAGCAGATGGTAAAGGGTGGCAAGGTTTAAGTTAGAGAACAAGAGGGGAAAAAGTATTGGGTGGAGATGGACGAAAGAAAATGTATATTATGTGGGAGGCAACAGGAAATGTAGGAGCACGTGTGGAAAGAATGTGCGAATGAAGGGAAAGAAAGTGTATAACAGGAAAGAATGGAGGAAGTGTTAGGAGAAAAGAGAGAGGGGGAGAGATGGTTGAGGAAGTTGGAAAAATTAAGGGGAGAAAGGGAAGAATGAGTAGAGGAATGAGGAAAAAAATGAGAGAGAAAGCTGGGAATACTGATGAAAGAAGCAGTGAAAATTGTAAATGGAAGCGGAAGTTCTTAAGAATGTAGAATAAAGTAAGAAAGGATATAGGGTGGGTTATAGACATGTGTGCATGTGTATATACTAGATAGGATAGAATAATAAATAATAGTAATATAGAAATGTACGAAATGTACGAAATGTAAATATGTAAAAGAGAGTTTTATTGTAAAATATAGTAAAGAATATAGAATAAAGATTGTTTTGTTATAATACTTATCATTCTAAGAGGAACCAATACGGACCTGATATATAGTAGACTTTAACAATCAAGTCAATGTCTTCTTGTAATTTAATTTGATTACGCGACAAAGAATAATTTTACACGTACGAATAACTTTTACAACTGAAGGGATAAAATAACATTTGTTTATGCGTCTCAGCTACCTGGATAAATAAACGCCGTTGCTTAGACTGCGGAAGATCAAGGTTTATGGCTCGTAACCATTTTCGCTCAATGGCACGTAGAGGAGGATATTATCTTGTATCGACATGATAAATTGCGTACGGCTGCTCTTATGACCGAATCCTTCGATGATCCACAGTCAAACTTTTCGCATTTCAACTCACGTCTTACAAAGGGGTTAGTTGCCCTTTCTTCCTTTCATTCTCCCTTTCCAGATAGTCTTGATTAACTAATCCGAGGTAGTTTCTAACTCGAACAAGTATTAACTAACTAATTCCAACTGTGTCCCATCCTTTTCTCAAGTCACACTATGACATAAATAGAGAAAATTAAAAATATTAAGATGATAGAGAAATGGAAGCAAAGTAGCGCGTTTACATTTCTATCATTCGTTCTATTTATAAGCTCTCAAAATATGATATTTATATGATTCATATTTCTCTTTCTATTCTTAAGATTCGAACTTTAAATTCTCTCTATTCACAAAGTACAAATTTGACAAATTTTAATTATTTAAAAATATGTTACGCATGTTATATATTATGCAGATGAATAAATATGAATTCAAAATAATGTTAAAATTATTAATTACATTTTTCCTGAGTTCAATTCATTGATATCTGTAACTTCGTAAATTTTTATTTTAGTTGCAATACGAAAAAAACTAATCAACTGATATCAAGTTTACGTATCTAAGCCTCCCTAAAATAGAAGAAATTCTGTAATCGAGCCTAAGTGCTAAGTGTTGTAACTTTCGAGTATCATAAATAAATGATATTTATGTGTTGGAACAGAACGTAACAAACCCGAATTCATGCTCGACAATGTCAGTGTTTCGCACGAAAAGATCCTCAGGAGTGGCATAGAGCTACTTTGACCATAACAGGATGAATTGTGCGTTCGTTCCATGGGGAGTAGGACTGTTAAGAATACGTATGCTTCGGCATGGGGTCGACGAGTCAGTGAGCTCACGAAAACAGATTTCGAAACGTCCTTTCTGCACGTGGCAAACTGCCAGTGCAGTTCGGTAGAATAAATGTTTTTATCTTTTATTATAACGATCGTATACAGATTTTATTAACAATCAAACTCATATATTCGATTGATTGATATTATAAAACGTTTATTTATCTAGAAATTAATAATGGCAACTACACGATGATATTATATCAGACACGTTAAATGTATTTTTTCAACAATTGTAAATAATAGTATAAAGATGTAAAATAATAGATACAAAGTGGATAATTAGTTCTCTCTCTCTCTCTCTCTCTCTCTTTCTCTCTCTTTCTTTCTCTAAGAAATAATACTAATTAAGATCAACAGCCATTGCGGAAATTGAATTTAATGGAAAAAAACATTGAGTTATTCGTGAATAGCTATAAGAAACGATTAAATATTTCTTTGACAGTTTTCGTATGTTAGGGCATTCACGAAGATGATGCAAGTAAATTATTAATTAAATTTAAATATTTATTGTATTATTTATTATTTAATTAGTTGTTAATTAATTGTGCTGACATGATATTATATTGACTTCTTCTATTAATCTTTATTCATTGTTTTATATCCTTTTATATTCTTTTATATAGATAGTATGGCGTGACAATATTACATGTCACGAGAGTAATATTTTTTTAAAAGTAGACTGACACAGAACATAGTTTGTAAAAACATTTGAGTCGCGAGAATTCAGAGTGTAAAATATTTATTAATCCCATGCATTGTTACGACGTCAACTGTAATAAAAGTTGTATCAGCTATATATTGCGCGGTAAAAATTTTTCCTTTCTTTCCCTGATGTGTACTTGCCATGTTTCATGTGCTGTGGAAACCGCGCAAGGCCCTCGTGGAATCTCTTTAACTTTCGCTTCTATACACGTTTTACGCAGGGAAACTGACAATTCGTCTGTTGGTGTTTTAATGCAAAACCGCAAGCGACGTTTATAGCAATCATAAAAACTTACGTGTATACGACGCTATGGGAGCAGCGTCGCTCTAAATCTATTTTATTGCCTCACGGCCTTTTTCAACCGCAGTTTCACTACGAAGCGTTAAGTTGAGTGAGTCAAATCGTTTAAACACTTAACTACTAATTTAATTTATTACGCTTTAAATCGATTTAAAAAATTTAAAATAAAGCAACGATCCTTTTTTCACACAATGTATCATTATGTCAATCCGTCACGATCCCGGAAATAAGGAACTTTCATTTAATCAAGTCTCATGTTTATTCATCTTGCAGACGAGATCATTAAAAAGTATAATTATCAAATATAATATTTCTATATCATCGACGTATTTAAGTAATTTAGATAAATGTATATATAAAATGTATATATAAAAATAAAAAGATGAAAAATATAGTACATTGTGAGTATTAAAAACCATTCCATAAATTTAAGTTATGATTAATTCAGACAAAAAATTTTCGATTAATTTTCAGGATAAATTCAAGTTTAGTTTTAAATTTAAATTGTGATAATTTTATGCTTAACTTCTCTTAAGTCTAATCCTTTACGTAAAATAGAAATAATATTTTACCGTATGTTTAACGATAAAGGGAAGAAATAAATAGTGAAACATTCATAAAAATATCTGCTTTATTTTTCAACTCTTCGTGTCCCGTTCGATATATACGACATAGTTATTGATAATAACAGATATAACTAGGATCATATTTACCTTCCGCGAGTGCAATATTTCTTAGAACATATTTCTTGGAATTTTTAGTTGTAAGTAAATATGGTCCTAGATGTAACGATGTAGCGAAACGACAACGTTTGTATAATAATAAGTATAATAGTAATAATCAGTTGCAGATCTACATATTTTCGATGGTGTAATATTTCCAAGGATTATTACTTTATAAATAAATCTTGAACTTGAAAAAAGAAATTGAAAACACGTCACAGCTTAAGAAGCAAGGCATTTGTGCACCGAACTTCTTGACTGTAAAACTTAAACTTAGTTCACTTAGATCTGCCATTGAGTATTAACAATTGTACTATTAATTCTACTATAATAATATCGCGTGTAATATTTCGCGAGAGGACACATATTGTTAGATAAGTTTATTGCACCGCTCAATTTTCGGTCCTTGTTCCTAAGATTACGATATAAAAGTACCCGCGCCGTCAGCAAAATAAGATTCCTCGAGGTAATCAAGCGTGCATTACGGGAAAGAAGAGAATGGAAATGTTTCTCTAAATGCCTACGGAAAACTGACTACAAGAGACGCGTCGAAAAAAGTGCGCGTACTTGTCGTCTGCTCGCGTTCTCATGTTGGAGCCTTAACATTGTAACATTAAGTGATTAAGGTGAGCAGTTACCTACTTAAAGTATCTATCTCGTTAAAGAGAAAAAAGGAAAAAATTAAAGGAAGAAATATCTCACTAATGTCGGATTGAATGATGAAAACAAAAGCGGGAGAGGATCGATAAATCGGTGATTCAATGAAATGCGATATAATAATTAATTTGAAATTAGCAAAAATATAAACTTGATCACAAATAAATAAACTATCCAGCCACAATTGTTATATGCAACGCACTAATGTAGTGATTTGCGAATATAAATCGATATTTTTTCTTTGTTTTCTTTCGAGAAATGTAAAATAAATCTGAGGATAGAAAAATTGCTGAGTTTGAGTCGCGCATTCTCATTGATTTCCCTTTTCATCATCCTGTCGTCGCTTTTATATAATTGCCACTCTTCAATCCATAGAATATAGTCTCAAAAATTCGCAGGCGCGTTGGTCACGTGACACATTCTATCACAATTTATCTCTATTATTTTCAGTCATACTCGCGAGAAGATTCCGAACTGTGGAAGAGATTATGTCGCTCCTCCTCGGTAGACGGAACTTTCATAGTTCGAACTGCCCTGGGCACCTTGCTTACTTTACTGAAGTCTCTGCTGATTCCGTTACCACCGGAAATACTGAAAAAGACGTGACATGTTGAATTATCACAATAAAAAAGAAATAAATGAAACGGAGATGTATCAATTATTCGAAATATGCAAAATATTATTTTTAAATATACAAGTTATTTTTATTGCGATTTGATGGATTGTCGTGTTTGTTATTATTAATATAAAAATTTGTTTTATTTTGATATATTTTTTTCAAATATAAAAGAAATTAAATTAGAAGTAATTTAGAAAAGAAAGAAATCTGATATTTATAACAAATGAATTCGATATATACACGATATCGGTCTTGTCATCCTCGCTCGACTCCATTTCGTCACTCGGCACCGTGAAGTACGGATTCGCAGATGCTGGTCGAAATTTGTAACCTGTTAAAACGAAGAACGCATAGGTCGCCATTTCTCGAAACGTTTCGTCCAGCCATTGATAATCAAAGCGCACAGTGATCTATAAACGTGAGAGCAATTTGAATCAAAATACCATTCGCGATTGTAATACGTGACAATCGATGTCATTGTAAACTCATAAAACTCAACACATACCTTGAGTATGTACATTATAATTCGGGTGAAATATATATAGAAAACTATCATAATGTAAAAATGCTTGAACAGCATCAGCTTGCGCAAGTTCATAGCTGCTTTATCGCTCGTGCGAGCAGCCTCTTCCAAATGTTTGATGCTCCATACAACCGGAAATAGAATTGCACCGCAACAGGCTAAATCAACGAGTATGAACATATCCCGTGAAGTTTCGCGACGTAAATTACCTACATCACTTTCTTCGATTATTATTTCAGCTACATTTGCCAATACCTACGAGAAAATGCGCTTTTATTACGATACATGTCTTTAAAGTCATTATACATTATGTGACAGTTTTATCGAATTCCAATTTTTGAACATTTTTATTTTAAACAAAAATTATGAAAGAGAGAGAGAGAAATTTGAAAAATTTGAAAAGAGACATTATATTAATAAAAAAAATTATTTTTACCTGCAATGGTATGACCAGCATAAAGAGTTTCTTTTCCTTATCTGTGAGAATATGCTTTATGAAATTCCATCCGGTGCCGATAAGTACAATAGTAATGAAGAGAACGGCGCCTTTCAGGAGATGAGTAATGTAGTATAAAATCGCCCACGCCTCTACGTGTTCACCCTTGGTCTGAATGAAGTGGTAATTTATACCGTGGAATAACAATGAGAGAGACTTCAGGTACACTAGGACCGCCATTAAATAGTGGATTTTGAATACAGAATGCCTGTTGTAGAAGTAATATTAACGTTCTATTCTGTGCTAATGTTTTATCATTATGTTTGATATTGCTCTTTTCCTTACTTGCTTTTGTTAAGAATAAACACCCAAAAGCAGCCCGACAAGAAGAAAAGCAGTGCCATTGTAAAGTACAAAGCTGGCAAGGGCATCTCGCCAGCGCTGAGGAAGTTGTCATTATTAATCTCCGCTATTTCCACCTACGAAAGAAATTTCTTTAGCACTGATGAACAATCGTCTAATCTCCTGATCATTCCTAAATAATCTTACCGTGAAATCCACAAGCAGCGGTTCCATATTATTATCATAATTTTGACAATTGTGAAAATAGAGATTATACAGGCCCTCTTCTTCTTCGCTTGCCACATACATGAGGAAACTCGTGTTGTACGATCTTTCACCTTTCGAGGTTGTCTCCATCGTCATCGGCAATCTTAGACGAGAACACGCGTTGCTCTCTGACTCGAGTTTTGGAACATTACTGAACACGACGGATTTTTCGACTGTTGGACAAAAAGATTTTTATCTGACACTGAGTTTATGAAAAGCGAAAGAGTCGGTTTCTTTATGGTCTTATTTGTCAGGTAAATTTATCGATGTGTCACTTGACGACGTAATGCTCCTTCGCGAACGATAATTGAGATGAGATATAAATGTGTACTTGTCAGCGCAAAAGATAGTTACCTAACCGAACCTTCACAAAAATACCTGAGTTTCGCTTTATTTATAAAATCGGGGACAAGTCGTGTTAATTATAGTATCTCTCATCTGCGATGTTCGATCAACGATGTCACTTCAAGATCGGTATGCTGTCGCTCATCGATCATCGTTGAAACTGTCTGTGCGAGAAATGCGCGGAACATACGCCTCGATCGTTCTTCGATGGCTCCTTTATCGCACAAATTCTTTAAATTACATTTATATCAATTTAGTGTGTTATTTTATGATTATATTTTCAAACATTCTTGAATATATAATCATTTACGATAAATAATTACGTTACATTGATATGATAATCTATCTATAATAAAGATTCTTTCTTTACGCATCATCTTTACGCATCACATTTGTTAATATTGATCTATTCTATCTATTCTTTCCGCATCGCGACGAAATATCTTTTTCATTAAAAATAATAATAATTGTATATTAGATATTATAATAGAATTGTCAGGATAATAATAATGTGTTATATGTGATGATTTGCAACGCGAAGGATCATAAGCCAAGTCTCCAGTTTACATCTGTTCTATGCGCGTGCTGCAATCGAATTATATCTCTAATATTAGGTCATGAGGAAGTGTCGAAAATATCTGGCGAATACTGTGATAGTTTATTTTCGATATACTACGCGTATCGCTGATAACATTTACCAGATGTCGTTTTCGCACTTGTCCTAGGCAGAATTTCATTACTCTATTCATAGCAAATAGCAACAGTATTTAGATCGGAAATTTTCTAAGTGAATCATGTCTACATCGAAGCAAGTCTGTATTGCGCAATACGCGGAGGCTAAATGAAATATCTTTCGCTCTATCGTAGCATGTCTCTTCGCATAATTACCACGTCTTTAAGCATATGCCAAATGTTGCAACTGCCGCTCGCGATTTATTATATTATGCAATATTATAAAGTTAAATATAAACACTGGTTGCATTACATGTATGAAGAATATATCCACGGACCGCCATGAAAATCGATGAAGCATGAATGGGAGAAACGTCGTTGTTTCAACATTTATATTACCTCGCAATCGCTCTCGCATTACTGTGAGGTAGAGATAACTTTACGCATGATTTAATGTGTATACGCCACGACTCACCGTGCGATGCATTTCGTTTTCTCCGTGGAAAGAGCGCGGTATCGCTGAATCTAGCAGATAGCGAGCTCCTCTTTGTTCGATACATCAGCACCGTACTGGAGTCTTTATAAATATGTGCCGCGTGTACATTGCGACTGCAGTTTACTTGCATCCTGTAACGATTTACGAATTATTTCATAAATCCAATTTACTCTTCATCCAGTGCATTCTAACGTTGTCGCGCGCGCGACTGCATCACTTACATTAGATTCTTTAAGTCCATGGTAAAATATATAATGGAGCTGTCATCCTTCTGTTCCGTCTTGAAATTCGAAACATTTTGTAACAGACACCCATCCAGGTGATTGTGCACGTAGGGATTAATAGCATCGATTAGCGTTCGACCCAAGCTGAAGCCAAACTGCAATTCGGAATAGAAATACCATTTTTAACAATAGAAAAATATAACAATATAAAAATTATCATTTATTTGCGCAAAAAACTACATAAATTTATTTATAAATTTATATGTAATTTAATGTATCCATTAATTTTTCTCTCTTTTTATATAGAATAAATAAAATAAAATATATAGTATTATATACATATACATATATTGCATAATTGAATGCTTTGAAAGATAAGATAATGATATACACCAGGAAATTTCATGTGTCAGTTTATATCCTATGTTAAAAGTATGTGTGAACAAGTCATTCACGAGTCTAACAAGTCGATGATATATATACTAAGCATCCTGGGCGCTTATTTATAAACGCGGGTGGTTCTCGGCGGAACTATCAAAGTACGGAAGATAGAAACAGGTGTCTGTCGACAGAGCGACATACATATGCTGTTTGTAATCAAAAATTAATTTGCAGCTTAATAGAGTTTTTAATTAAAAAATTAACATTTTTTTTATTTTTTTCATGTTGTAATTAAAATAATGAGATAATGAAAGTATGTGAATTATATAGAAATTATAAAAATTCCAGACAAAATGTGTTGCAAAAATATTATATGATTCTCGTATAATAGTAACTGTAATATTTCACTTCAAAAATTCCGAAAAAAAGTTACATCACGATTTATTTTCCACTTTATAATTGCCCGTTACTTCGAAATATATAAAAAAAAGAGATTAAGTCCAATTTTTCAGAAAGATTTAAATAATTTAAAAATGCATTTAAGTTGCATCTCGTATATTAGTATTTATTATTGTAACTCACCACAGCTTTATTCGTACTTTCCGGTGTCAGTTTTTTGTCTGCATCTGCTGGTTCGAATTTGAAATTCGTGAGATTTACAGTTAAAATGCCACCCTTGTAGAAACCGAATGTGCTCAGAGTGATATAATGCCGTCTATCTTCCTGAAATACAAACGATAACTTAAGCGAAAGGGAATGCATCAGGTAGGGGAAAGAGGGAACAAAGTACAGCATGGAATAAAGAACCGTTGCTTCAAAACAGTCATGTAAAGATTATATAGTTTGCTCTCACATCTTTCGACGAAATATTTCTGAAAAGTTCTTTAATGTATTTATTTGTCCGCAATTTCGCATAAATTAACATAATCCTGACGCAATTCCTTGACAATAATTTTCACAAAAATTACCATAAAAAATTTTCAATGTAATTATTCAGATATATCTATCAATTATGGCTAATTATAAATATAAGAAATCGATAAAATTAATCATTTTCTCCTTTAAAATGACGTAGTAAAGTAACATATGATGTACTCCGAAATTATGGCGCATGACATTGCCACGGGTGATTTTATAGGATATTATTTTTTCATAATCTTGCATACGATCGTAATGTACGACACAATGCACTATTAACAGGCGTCCTTCGTTTTTTATTTCAACTTTCCACAGGAATATTCCGCGACACAATCGTGACACAATCATCAATCCATCGAATGATTCAACGGACGCTTCGAGGTTTTCTTTTCTTGAATCGCAATTGAGTGTACAATAATAATAATGATAATGATAAATGTCGTTTGGAAAAATCGCATTTCCAGTGCAACTAACCCGTATATCTGATTTGTGAATTCTCGCATTCGCCACAGTCACCATCAGCAGAAGTGACACACAAACACGTGCCAGCGTAACAGCGTTCGACCGCATCTTTTCGGTTCTTCTTGCACTCCCACTGATTGTCTCCAGCTGTATCACCGCTTGTCACATCACAAGGAATCGGCGCGCGCCGCGTCTAGAACGCTTCGCCCTCGCTCATCGATAACTGAGCAGGAACTGAGACCGTCCCGAAATGTTGGAAACATCGGAATTGAACCAGACTGACATGACAGTGCTATGAAAAGAAGGAACGAGCGAATTGGAACTATTAGAAACTCGACCGGACAACTGTGTTGTTAAGCATGTGTCGTCAGCACAGTAGAATCGTAAGAAAAGAAGAAAACACAACAAACATAGAAGGGAGTTTCGTTGATTTAGTTACATCAGAATTGAGAGCATTCGATGTGTGTTTTTCGATTAATATGACCTTCGACAGTTACAATTCGTTTCTATTGTGTTCTGGTAAGAGTCCAAACTAGTAGCGTCTTCAGGACCGAAATACGATTCTTAACGGCCCTTGACTCCACGTATTTCTTTTGTAAACGGAGCAAAATAAGAATGTACAGTCGTGTTTCCGAAAAAGAAGGAAGAGACGATAAAATATAGGACGTTTGGAACATAGCAGATTGTTTAAATAATTGAAGATAAATTAAACATTGGCAAGTAAGAGCAGATTTTTTAATTAAAAGGTATAAATAATAGGTATAAATAATTAGCAAAATTTTCATAATAGAATTTTTTCAACAATTATTATTTACAAATATAAAATCATGCAAACAAATAAGTGGTCTAGAGAATGATTTAAAAATTAAAATAATTAGAAAACTTATGTTTTAGTTCATATATCGTTCACCTGAAAAATGTTGATTGTTCTATTCTGTTTCGTCTAACGCGATTATATTTTTTCATTGATGTTTCAATTTGCAAGACTTTTCGCTAAAACATAAAACTTTACATAATTATTTACAATAAAAGTAAACGATATCAGATAAACTTTTTGATTAAGAATTTTTCGAGTGCTTGCTCCGATTTGCAGAACAGGGACGGATAAAGTAAGATGTACATATGTCAGTGTAACTGAGGGTTATGTTATTAATAGTTGATTTCTTTTGTGCAGGAAATCTTTCAGATCCGATATTATGGAAAAGCAACTCGAGGCTCTGAACATCGATGATTCCTTCGAATCGGATCAAGAATCATCGCGTACTAAAATAATCAGGACGTTCAGTTTTCCATCCAGCCAAGTCCATTTTTGCAAAACTTCCAAAGAATTAAAATTATCCACGTTGGATAAGCACTACAGCGAGCAAATACTATATCCGAATATTTACGCTAGGTATTATATCTTTTGATTAAAATTAGTTATGAACTTAATGTCGCACGATACGTAAAAATTTAATACATCTATTAACTAAATTTTATTTCCTCATTTTTATGTCTTTTTAAAAATGTGTATATATTATTAAAAATTGTGTAAAATAACACTATAAATGCACATATTATTTTTTCGTATAATTTAATATTAAAAATTATAATTTTTAAATAAAGATATTTTGCAATTAAAACAATTTTTATATAAGCCACAACTGACTAAAATAAAAACAAAAAATTATTAAAATCAATAGTAGTATTTGTATTACATTTATCATTAGTATTGATAATAAAATTTAAAAATATTTTTAAGATAAAACATATTTTAAACAAAACATAATGCTTCCGTTTAACGTAACAAAATGATTAAAAAATTGTAACTATTAAAAGGAATATGATATTTAATAGAGTTATCTACGTTATTTTTAAAACCATTATTTTTAAAACCAGGGAGCCCGCATTATTGGAGATGCAAACAAAAAGAGCAGAATGTATCTTTTATAACAACAGCAAAGTTCCGGAACATTTTTGGCATCCGAGGATCGATAATGTGCCATCTACATCCGCACTTACACCTGCAGACGATCCTGTGGAATATATGGAAATAGAGAAATATCCAGATTCAACGAAACATGATACAACATCGTTCACACCTATGTTAGCAGTCGATCAAACAGAGGTTATGGAAGTAGAAAAATTTATGAAACCTAGGGATCCTGCAGAATGTATGGACCTATCGAAATCGATCTCTATGGAATCATTATCGTTTGCTGCTGTCCAACAAGCACATACAAATATGTTGAAGTCTGCCTTTGATTTAGAATCCAAGCCTTCGGAAACAAACGAAGATATTACAAAACTGATTCCTACGAGACGAAAATTCAGAAAGACTAGTGAGATTCAAGAAAATAATCTAGATCATATAAATGAAAACAACGAAGACAAGAAACAGAAAAATTATCAGGATACGAAAAAAAAAATCCATTCGAAAAATGCTTCGCAATATTCAAAAATCAAAACAGCACTTTGCATCATATGTTTTGTAATAATTTTAATATTCGTATTCCTGTTATCTTTGCATGAAGATCAGGATGATAAGCACAGCAATACTTTTACGACTGCCATTGTAGAATTAAAAAAAGAGATTTTCGGTCAAGATCGAGCTGTACAAATCTTGATTAAATATCTCCAGCAAGATTCACCTTTTTTAAAGATAATAGCTCTCGTCGGTGGTACCGGTGTCGGTAAATCATACACGGTGGAAATTATAAGAAAGAATTTTTATGAAAAAAGTAATAACCATTTTTTTTCTTCGCGCGCCGATTTGTTCATCTTGGAAAATTTGAGAGACGAACATTTGTTAGATGTTATAAAATTTGTAAAAATGCATCAAAAGACATACGACAATCGATACGGTACTATATTTGTTGTTTTTAATGTCGAGCAGATGAACGATAACTCGACGCGTAGTATAGATCTAAATAAAAGTATAAACATAATGAAAAATACTTTTGCCAACGCAAATCTCGACATTAAAATTATTCCTTATGAATCCTTGAGCGAGGATGCTTTAGAAAAATGCATTAAAAAAATTGCGAAAAATGTTAAATTAACTCTCTCTCAAGATCAGATCGTTCTTATTAAACGACAATTGATAGAAAATAATACCGGTTGTAAAGGAGCCTATGGCAAAATTCAGGTGATTGGTAGACAATAAAGAGATTATACGTAATTATTATAATTATTATATTTAAAAATGATTGATAATTTTTGACAAAAGATGATGTATTTTGTTTACGTTTGGTGAAATGTGTAATCAGCGCGTCGGTAATTATTTCTAAGGTGACAAGATTCCTTGTTCTTTCAACATACATTTTAATCTATAATACTATTTATATATTTCAAAAAGAGAAATACGTTTTTTATAAATCAAAATCTATACCTTTATAACTAAATAAAAAAATACGAAACATGCGGGAATTATTTTTGCAAAAGAACAATCAATAGTAACAAGCATCACTCTATAGCATCTAATATTCGAGCATCACATATCATTATGAAGAGTTATATATATGAAATCACGGCGGTCACTTGCTTATAAGTCATCATAAATCCAAATGGTGATTATGGAATAAAATTTAATGCAATCGAGATGCTAATTATACGTTTCATTAGACCTATGCTAAACAACATATCACACGTCATCTTTTATAAAAATTATCAATTATCAATTATTTCTTAAATATAATATTATTAATTACTTTCAAAGTGACAAGACTTAAATCAGTCGTAAAATTATTATTTTACGACTGATAATAATATTTAATTAAATAATATACTCTTTTTCTCCATTTGTATTCTATTGTGATAATCTTAACATTTTTATTTATAATTGATAATCATAAGCCAGGTAATTTCTATTGACATTATTTTCCAAACTTTAAAAATATGGCGAATTGGATTTTCACATTGCTTAATTAGATCTTCAGTTGATTAAAAAGTCAACTTACACATAATTTATACTCATAATATTGAATATATAATGAATTGTTGTATGCATTGCTTCCAAATTAAACAATATTAATATTATTTATTTATTGTATAGTTAGCATTAACAAATTGATTATGATTCCCGATATAACATCTTAAATATTTTTTGCTAAAAAATTTTAAATTTTATTCCATAATCATATTTGGATTTATGATGACTTATATAAGCAAGAGACTGCCGCCATTGCATATGTATAAATCTTTGTAATGACAGGTAATGCTTGAAAATTAAATGTTATGCAATACTGTGTTGTTACATAATCGATTGTTCTTATCAAAAATCATTCGCAATTGTTTTGTATTTTTTTTTATTTAATTATAAAGATATATTTAGTTATAAAGAATTTTGATCTATAAAAGAAATGCTTCTCTCTTTAAAGTATATAAAATAAATAATTAGTATTGTAGATTAAAATATATATAAAAAGCACAAATTAAAAAAATCTGAACAAAATCTTGAAATAATGGAAAATAAATTCGGTAAAGATGTATAAATCTTCGTAATGACATGTAATGTTTGAATATTAAATGCTACACAATGCTGTGTTGTTACCATCGATCGTTTTTATGCAAAAATCATTTGCGAATGTTTCATATTTTTTTATTTAATTATAAAAGTATAGATTTGATATATAAAGACGTGTTTCTCTCTTTGAAGTATATAAATAGTATTGTAGGTTAAAATGTATATAAAAAGCACAAATTAAGAAAAATCTGAGCGAAATCTTGAAGCAATGGAGAATAAATTATAAATCCGGTAAATTTAATATAATCAACAAACTGGATTATAAAAAAAGTGTATGTTTTAATTTCTTACAAATATATGTATTAACGATTATATTCTGGTTCTAAATGACGAATTCTTTTGAAAAGTATAATTGAATTTATGTTTATTTACTTTTTGGAATTATATTTTGCTCAATTTTTTTTATTTTTTGATTCGTGTGTGTGTATAATGAGAATTATATATATGAGAGAAACTAGATTACGGATAAAAATTAGATTAAATTAGTTGCTACTATATATTTGTACTTTTTATATGTATTTATGAATAAATGACTGAAACAAAATATTAATCATGAGTCATGGTGATAATTTGTTTAAAAAATATTTCTTTTTAAATAAAATTTTGTAAATAAAAAAATAATTTAGCATTAGTCATTTGGAAAAAAGTCATATTTTACGGCTTTTGTAAATGGCAAAATATTTTATGGCTTATGTAAAATTAAGAAATGACTTCAAGCCTCATAACTTAAAAAGTACTCAATGAAGAAATACTTTATTATAGTGTTTTGGAATACTCTCGAGATAAGCTACAAGAATAAGTAATAAAAAATAGGAGGTTCCATTTTAAAAAATGCACTTCCGGTCTGAATCACCTATTTCCGGCCGAAATCAGAAGTTAAAAATATCACCATTCGATAGAGCGCACCTAATTTAATAAAGAAAATGTTTTTACTTTTTTGAAATAACCACTTCTCTTTTTAAATGGGTAATATGGATGGTCTGAAACACCCTGTATATATTTTCAGCAAAAATAGATCTTATGACTTATCAAGATCTACAATTTATTATTAATATATTACTAAAAAAAATTTGCTTACTATCAAACAAGAGATTCATAAAAAGAACTTAGTAAATTCGATGTATTTTGCACCAATAAAACTCATATGATTTTTCACTTTTGACATTGTAATCTAATATAGGTGCAGCAATTAATATTATTAATTATTTAATTTCTCTGACAATCCAATTTCGCTAAGATTTACATTAATCATTTGCAATGAGATTAAACAAACATCAAATAAATTTTTTATTTAAGAACTTCTTTAATGCCTCCTCCAATTTGTAGAATAGAAAAATAAATAATATATAAATTAATAAATATATATGTCAACTAGATTGTGTCCCTCAGTAAGATTCCAAACTCATAATGTTTGCAAAGTCGATTATTCTTAATAATTTGTGGTTTCATACGTATTTGTAATCGAAATGAGAAAAGAATATAAGTTGCTTTTCAAGAAAAAGATAAATATAATAAAAATAATAAAAATATATATGATGAAAAAAGCAGATTTTGTAATAATTTTGGATTCATTTTTTCAAAAAATTTATTTCGAGATTTCAAAAATAAAAATCGATGTTTAACAAATTTTCGGAAATGAAACTTTATGACTAATAATAATTTTGAGATGTAAAATGCAACAATTATCACACAAACAAATATTTGCATACTGTAAACATGAACCGGACTGTAAACATTATAAAAGATACTTTCATCGAAGCAAATATTATTAGTAAAATTATTCCCTTTGAATCTTTAAGCGAAGAAACTTTAGAAAAATACATTATAAACACGACAAAAACTATTAAACAAATATTTTCCCGAGAGCAGATGAATTATTATAAACAACATTTGATAAACGATAATACAATTGCAAAAAAGCCTATGATTGCTAAATGAAGATTATATATCATTTTTTTCCAAGGAAAAGAAATTGTTCAAATTATTATAATGCATCTGATATAATATTCCATTAAACAATAAAAATATTTCTTTTTATATGCATTCTCAATTATAACATGTTGCAATAATCTTAAGTCTATAAATAATTGATAATATTTTTAAAATTATATATATATATAAATATTAATTATATATATAAATACATTAATTCCCAGTAAACATGATAAACGTTTTAATGACGTATTGTGACATCAATAATACGTCATTAATTATTATATTATACGTCAATATAACGTTAATTAAGACGCCATCATGTTTATTGGATCGTTTCGATACTGGTAAATTATATCGTTAGTTCAGTATACTTTTCGAGAAAAAATAATTTTGATAACTTTCACAATAAAAGAGAATAAGACTTTGCACTTAAAATCAACTTACAATTTATAGTTATAATACGTTGATGCGAACGAAATGCGATGATGAAATTTTCATATACATTATATGATTTTAGTAAAAACGGTGATTTTTGCAGGGAATAATGTATTGTTTAGCGTACGTCTGGCAAAACGCATTATCAACGCGCTATTATCGCTATTATCAACGCATTATCAATGCGCTATTACGCACAGTTAAACAAACATTGATTAGGACTCCCGACATACGTAATATCTCGGATTTTAAAAGTTTTATTTTATGATAACATTTGGCTTCATTATGATTTCTAAGTGAGCGACCGTGATCATTGCGTATGTAAATCTTCATAATGTCACGTAATGCTAAATTAAATATTAAGCTTTACGCTACATTACGTTGTTAACATCCATCGTTCTTATAAAAAGTCGTTTGCGATTTCATTTTTCTTTTTTTAACTTTAAAATTATTAAATTTGTAATGATTTATTTTTTTATTGTATAAAATAAATAAATTGTTAAATATGTGCAAATATGTGTTTGTTAAGTGTAAATTCAATTTAATATGATTGTATTAAATTTTAAAACAATGGGGAACAAACTATAAATCCGATAAATTTATTATAATCAACATTAATAAATTATAAGAGAGGAGCATGTATTTCAATGCTTCATGAATATAGCTATTATAGCTGGTTTATATTTTAGTTTTATAATATAATTTTTGTAAAGAGCGCATTGAAATTTATTATTTAATTTTTTAAAGTTATATTTTACATAATCTTTCTGTACTTTCAATTTGTAATAATAATAAGATATATATGTAAGGAAGTTTCAGTTACGCGCAATAATTAGATTATTTGTTTTTGTTATTCTATAATTGTATTTTATGTACATATGTTTGTGAATAAATATTACTATGCTATAGTACTATACTAAAATAAAACGTGATGCGATAGAATGATGTTTGTTTAAAAAAAGATGTATTTTTAATTAAAAGTTGTGCTACTCAGTTATGTATTTTTGATTAAAAGTTTTTACTATTTTAAATAAAAATAATTGAATTCTATAGAAAATAATTACCGATTGTTATTGAAACTTTTATACAAACACAAATCCTTCAAGATATCTTCTGTCTCTGAATGGTAATTAAACATACGATAATAATAATGAAAAATATATCATTTAAAAGAATCATATTTTCAGTGCAATTAATACATATTAATATATTCAGCATATATAAACTTTTAGGTTTACTATAGTTATCATTTGTAGAGATAACAGATAAGCCCATGTCAATATAAC